GCCAGCGCTACCCGGCAGCGCTCCTCTTCTCCTCTCGGCAACGACAGGTCGAAATCCATTTTATTTAAATTACAAACTCAAAGCAGCAGCAGGAAAACAAACCAACCAAGCAAACAAAAAACAACAAAAAAAGAGGTGATCGCTCACTCCACATGTAGGTTACCACTTGCTGTGGGGAAAGCCAAAAAACCAGCAGTGTATGTGGTGACTGGGAGGGGTTTTTTTCTGCTGAAAATAAAAATACTATTTCTTAAAAAGCAGATTGAGAATGCCCGTGACACAGCCGTGTTTGAAAAACATTCACCAAACACATCAGGACCGACCAACTTCAACCCATCGCGCTCTGCTTTCTGCGGCTGGGGCCAGTTCCACTGGCTTGCTTGAAAAATATGTTAATCTGCAAACATTTACAGAAGGCGGCAATTCCCCGGTGGCAATATATAAAGTTTAAATTGTTTAAGTAAATATATGCACATAAATTGCAAATAATAAACCTTTCAATTGAATGAAAACTAAAAAGGAAACACAAACAAACAAAAAACCCCAAACCACCAAATGCCCCGGTTTTAGTTTAGGCCTTGAGCTTACAAAAAAGCCAAACAACACTCCCCCCGAGCCCCAAAACAAAACCAACTAAACAAAAAATGCAAAGAAAAGAAAATTTAACTTGCCATATAAAATAAAATGCAATTTATGCATGATCCTTTCTCCCCAATCAACAACTGCCACTTGTAAGTAAGCTTTAGAAAATAAATTACTGCAAAGTTTTAACTGGATTGTACAAACACAAATTTTACTTTCTTCTAAAACATGCTCATGTAAATAATAACAACTTGGATTCTGGAGCTATTCAATGGGAGCTGAAAACCTTGTCATGGAAAATATGCAGCTGATATTTAGAAAGGTTTTCCTGTAATTAACTCCCCCTTGAGGATTTTAAGTTAGCAGCAGTAAAATTACCAACAGTATACTAATGTACACCACATGTAGTATTTACTCAGTGGCCTACTAGCATTCTCTTGAAGATCAAACAAGGTAAAACAGAACTAGACCACCCCAGGGATACAGTCAAAGATTTTTTTTCTTTTTCAATACACACAAACTGTATTTCTTGTTTCAAAAACCCTATCTGCACTGAACATAGATGCCATTTTTGCTTCCTTCACTACAACCTATTTGTTTTATACTGAAGATGCTATTTCCAACCAGCCTTCTACCTATTGTCATTTAAGATTGAATTGAGAGCCAAGATCATACTTAGCACAGCTTACCCACAACTTGTCCAAAATACTAGTATATCCTTCAGTCTTTCTTCTCATCTACCATTACGCAAAAATCAAATCAGTACGGTAACTTCCAAGCCAAAGAAGACTAGGTAACAGAAACATACACCTCCTGCCTCATCTTCATCACTCCTTTAGGTTTTATTTCTTTCCCCAACTAATAATATTATACTGACTCCAAACCATACATCTTGTGTAACTGCCCTTTTCGATAAAAGATTTTAGACCATAAGTTATTTTAGTCCATTTTTATAAATTTTTGTCATCTCTTTGCGTATCACGTTAGTTATCCACTTTATCCCGACATGCATGAAATGTGTATCCACACAGGCACAGGAAGATGAAGAGCTTGTCTACACATCTGCAGAGACAGTAAGACCTCTCACTGAACCAGAATCTGCTTTTTTGCAGATTGTACTGTCTTGAATAAAGCACTCCACCTGCAACCAACACACACACGCTCACACGAGTACCTGTATAGAACCGATTACATTCCACACGGATTCACCTATTTTTCTGTAGATAAATGCACTTGTGTAGGTAGACCACAATCTAGTCCTCTTTCTATATTTATTGATCAGAGACACACATGACGGAGCACGACATCGCGTGACAATATTCAGTTTCCATATACATGTATAGGTATATTACACTGGATTTCTTATTTCAGGTCCCAAACCCTGCTCTGTCATCTGCCAGGCCTGCCTATTCTTGGTGTGACTGCAGCTTCTGGCTCCAATCCTGCAGATCTTCAGCACACTTCCACATACACTTTTTCAAGATCAAGGCCTCAAGGCACGGCCTATGTATTGCACAGGACATAGCAGCCTGCTGGCAGAGTATTTATCTAGCACAGCAATTTCATTATTATAATTCATTGGTGTAATTCCATGCAATCCTTCCCAAACTGCTCTGTAAGACCCAGTTTCTTCAAGTAGCTTTTTGCACGTGGATCTCTGCATCTGCAGAGAGTCTTATTGATTCCAGTTAAATCTCCGGAACACTTCGGTGTAAAAATAATAGTTAGCTGATGTTACCGAACAAGCTTAAGGCATTCATAGAATGACAGATTATTTTATATTGTTTGTCTATAATTTAACCTTACATGAGAAATACAATTATTAAAAGCCTTTTAAAAAATAAAGTATTGCAAAGCTTGATACAGAAGATACTTACTATCACTTTTTTTTTTTTTTTAAATGTCTAGTATATACATCAAGAAAAGCAGTTCAGGGAAAAGATGCATCAAAAACACCCTACTTCCTATTTTTCAAAAAAGGATTCCCAGAAACCTCCCTCTAGTCTTCATCTTTGTTTAAAAAGATAACAATGGAAAAAAACCCCAACACTTTCACATCAGTATTTTAAAATATGAAGACTTATTTTTCATCCCTTGAGTTGAGACAAAGAAAACTGATCGGTCGACTGCAATACTGTAGGTGATCAGCTGCCAGTCCCCTGCAGGCACAAAGCTCTGAACTCCGCCTCTTGCCTTGATAGCAGATAGCAATGCCACAGAACGTTTTCAACTCCCCCCCCTCCCCAAGTTTTTGACAAACGTCAATAAAAAACAACAAATCACTAGTTAGCTAAAAAGCTCAATAAGGTATTTTCTAGCAGCTCTCACAAAATATTGTATTTGGGGGTCAATCTAAAAACACCAACAGGTTTAAAGTTCTATTTTTTTGCCCTTGCACGCCTACATAAGTATTTTGGTCTCATTTCTAAGACAATGGGTGAAAGGAAGAACAGAAAAGAATTAACTCTTTCCACCCCAAAACTTTCTCTACAAAACCACCTTCACCTTCTCTTTCCTTCTCCCACACTACCAGACTGACTTTTATAAATAGGCATTTTGGAAGGATCTTCCCCCCCGAAAAATTACCTAAAGCCTTTTTTTCCCAAGCAAGTTGATGTGAACTTGGGAATGGCAATTAAATTGTCAGAATTAAAAAATTTGTTTTTAACTAGAAGGTAGCCAGAAGTATAGTCATGGGGCTGGTATTGATTGTCTGAACAGAGAACATTAGTCTTCAGGTATTTATTCTGCCACCTCTGCACCAGAGGTTCTCCTTCAAATCAAATCAATCCCTTGAAAAGATTGGTTCTTGCTACTACGACACATAACTAGGCTGCAACAGAGCTGATTGTTGTTGTTGTTGTTCTCTCCAGGTTTCACTGAACAATATTAAGGCTTCTGATTGTTTCTGAATAATTTTCACAGTTGCAAATTGTGATCTTTCCTAGACTGTGAGCTCTCTGGGGTGGAGAATATATCCGGTTTTATTTGAAAGACACCAAGCAGTTGATAATGTGTATCTAATAATGAAAAGTATGCTAAAATCCATGCTTTCAAGCATGGTTACTGCAACGGTACTTTTCCATTATTTATGCTTTGTTTTCCCCTGTCTCCCTTTTGGCAAAATCCCTTACCCCCAATTTCAGGTTTTGGTTTTGCTCTGTTTTATTTTGAGAAAAGCTTAAATAGGCAGTAGGAAACTTTTTATTCATTATTTTAAAATGCTTTTGCTTCAGAGACATGTAAAATTTATCAAAATACAATAATTAATGCTGAATTATTGATAAGAAATCATAAAATATCGGGGCAAATATTCTGTGAATTTTAAGGATATCTGCACCATGAAAAAAGGGCCTGAAAGTCTGGTTCCAAAAATCTGAAAAGAATTGGATTTTATGACCCAAAAATAGTTATTATTAAAAATTTACAAACAAAATTCAGAAAGAAATAAAGTGACCACTCCAGTTGACCTTTTTGACAACTGTACCTTCTAGACTTAAAGAAAAAAAAAACCCAACAAAACACAAACCCCCGAACACCACACCAAAAAATCCAAACACAAAACCATAAAAAAACCTAGAACCTTTGTATTGCTATAAATTATATATAGTTTCCAGATGAACTTGAATTTATACTTTGGACATCTATTTTACACCCTGCCAGTGGAAGGTCTTGGAACAAGACAGTTGCATACATATGCACACTCACTTAGGCAGATAGTAATTATCTGTATTTTCAGAAATCACATTAAATAATGACTTCAGGTAAACTAGAATATTCACTGGGATAGATAAGGAAACAGAATGGCAACAGATAAAGGCAGTGTGCACTTAAATTCATAATAAAACAACATCATAGAAGCCTATTAGGATGTCAAATTCTGAACAGAAAGACGGACAGAAAATAATTAGCTCTATTTGAATCATCAGGTTTAGCTACCAGCTATGCCTGTTAGCTACCTATGAAATAAGGCTACTTTTATTTCATTTATACACTCTGCTTTTGTATTGACCAAAATTGTACTCCCGTCAATTAAGAACGGACTGTGCACCATAGCCCTTGAAATACAGCATGGATTTAGTGAAAATATCACATTACTATGAAAGATGAATAATTGTGTTAGTGTGTGTTTACTTATGGAAGAATTAGTTACACAAATATAGATAGGAGCTCTAAATATTTTGCAGTAAAAATAAATTTTTTTTCAGTATTTTGATAAACAATAATCAGATTAAATATTAAAATAAGAGTAAATACATAAATCTGTAACAAGACCTATTTAATTTAAAGTAAACACAGTATTAAAGAGGGGCAATTGTTGTTTATCCATGGACTACTAAACAGAGAGAAACCTTGTGCCCTTGAAGTCCATGGTGTAGAAACAACACACAGCATTAAGAACAACAAGCCCCAAAGCAAAAAGTGGGTTAATTAATTCTACATCTTGTTCCTGTTTCTATAGTCAAAGATGTAGGGCTCTACAAACATCGCTTTCAGATCACTTTATTGACTATTCTCTGTATGGTCATTTATTTTAGAGGACTGATGTCACATCTGGCATTGTATCAGCTGACATATTGTAGACATTTTCTTCCAGAAATGGCTCTTTAAGGCTGAGTGCAAGAGGTTAAGATGCCTGATGGAAACTAACTTTACAACAGTGATGTTGTTCTATATTCCTGTAACAGTCTTAATAATTTTAAATTAGCATAAAGCTTATGCCTTCACATATAATATGTGTGCGTGTACTTATACATATATGTATGCAGAAATTCACAGACTGAAAAAAAAAGACCTAAATTTAAATTATTCTATGCCCTTACTTGTACCTTCAAGATGAAGGGTACTCAGCTTTAATTATAAGCAAATTATTTTTAAATATAAGAAAGAGTTTTCTACCTCATTAACGTATCTTCATTAGATTGCAAAGACGTAAAATTCTAGACTAAAGTCCAAAGTTCACTAGCTTTGGGGGTGTGTTTATTTGTTTATCTTTTTTGTTTATTATAGAATTCTCAAATTGATTACTGCATTAGTTTTGCAAATACATTCCTCTAGAACAGCCACAGCAGCATGTAGTTGAGTGATCCCTGACAATAAAATGGAGGGTGGAAAAACTGTTAAAAAATGCAATCTCCTTTTTTAAAATCATCGGGTAGAAATCAGCGTTAGTACCGTTTGCTGCCCGAGTAATATGTCATGTTTCAGCATTTGTTACTATTTCTTTCACGCCAAGTTCTTGCAGAAAAACTTGAGGACTTTAACATAAGCATAGGTTTGAATACAGTTGAGCTTTAGAAGTGTTCTTTTTCTTTCAGTGTATCTGTAATCATAGGCAGATACGCGCTAAGGCTAACTGAAATACTTGCTTTGGATTTCTGAAAAGGAAAGATCTTACTCTGAAGTTACTAATGCATAAATAGGTAATTTTTCACAAGAAAGCGCGTCCAGGGATTAATGGCAAAATTGCATCCACTTCTCTTCTGCTTAGTGAGAACTATAATCATTGTACGCAAAGTATGCACAACGTGCCAGCTCAACCAAGATGGAATGAAGAGGCTTAACAAATGCCAACGTGGCTTACATTAAGCAATGGTCAGTTTATCTTTGTACTGAACGTGTCTGAAATGCAACGACAAAAGCCTTTGGCATTTGGGACAATTTTCTAGCATCTTATAGGAATGAAGGTCTAGTCTTTACTGCCACATACTATAACCTGCTGCTATTGGCAAGAAGCAGATTTTACACTGACCATGTTCTCCGGCTGCTTTTAGTGTCGCTTCAGGATGTGTCGATCCAAGGGGGTTACGCACAAATCGTCGCCGGCGCCGCAAGTCATCTTCCCAGTAGTCAAGGCGCCAGAACTCACGAGGACGACTACAATGAAACAGAGGAGCCACATATGTTAGCAATTATCAAACAGCATGGTAGCACTGAATTTCTGCATAAAGCTCTCCTTGTTTGTGCTGCTTTTGCTTTTTTTTTTTTAACCTCCCCCCTTTCTGCAATCTTTTACTTAGGTATGTCCTTGAAAATAACAATATCACCTTCCAGTCTAAGGAACTCCTTTCCCTTTTTTCTTGGAAGGTGAAATGAGCACTAAATACATCATTTTGAAATGAATTGCTGACAGTGTGATCAGTTTCCCCACACTCTAGTGGCATGTGCTCCGATTTCAGCCTCATTTCAGCCTCAGCAGGGCACCTTTCTCAGTGACTGCATTTATAAACCAGAATAGGGAAAAGGCTATTATAAATATGGTATAGCATTACCTATATTAATCAAAGTCTGTCCCCCTTCATTTTTCTTCCTAATTTGTGCCTTTTTGCACAAGGTCAGTAAATCATACCAGGAATTCTTGGTCCAGAAAGTGTTAACTTTAATGAATACCTCAGTAACATGGTTATGTATGTGATAATAAAATATTACTTTGTTTAGATGTGCAGGAATTTAATTAAAATAATCTCTTAAAATATTCATTACATTTAGCCCCTGAGGCTTAGAACAACACAAGAAAATGCATTTCTTTTCCATTTACTGTTTTTAAATAAACCATTCCAGGAGAGTGAAACAGCAATCTATTTTCGAACAAATCAGATTGGATTTCTGGTGTATGTAGTTGTGTTTTTACATTTAATTAAAAACTACATGTTATGATGTGTAATAATTGCTATATTGAAGGCATAGCTTCAAAAATTACATCAAGAAAAGGTTACATCAAGTTCATTATTTTCCATTGTATTCTCCAAATATATGTAGATCTTTTTAATATGTTCATACATAAGTGCCAGTTACTATCTTGTTAGATGATTAGGAATGAATGAAACTGTAAAACACTATTTTAACCCAGAGAATGTACAAAAAAAAAAAAAAAGCCAATTTCATGTATAGGAAATAAACAAACAGAAAATGCCTGAAGCACAGAATAGCCATGATAGCCTGAAAACCCGTATGCTCAAATTAAAAAACACTGATTTTGTTTACTAACATAGCTAGTATTAAAACAATATATGAAAATGCATCTACACTCCATTTCTGGTCCAGGAGCTAATACGAAGTATACCTGTCAACACTGACAAATGAATCGCCACAACTAATTCAGAGATCACAATGTTAAAAATACTAGGCATCCACAATCGTAGTTTTGAGGTCTAAAGGCAGAAATGAGTTTTATTTAAGGTAAATCAAGGTTTAAAACAAACACAGTAATGACAGCCAGAATAATTTGCATAACCCTACTCTCAAACAGAATTTGTAGACATTAAAAATTGTGACTGAAAATAATCTTATAAAAATGGAAAGTGTCTTTGCACCTACCTTCATTAAAATTCTATGCCTTTTTCTAACACTGAAGAAAAGGCAGTGCTATTCTTCATCTTTCCGATTTCTTACTTTCAGAAAAATACCAAAGTATTGGAACTAAACACCCCAGCATCTTATTTTCACATTTTGTGTGTATTATAATAATGCTAAAATTTGAATGCTTTGATTATAAAATCCAGTTAATTCAGAACAATTAATCAACCAAAAACTGTAAAACCCAGAAAGATATGGGTTTATTCAAAGGTCGATTAATAACTTAAAATTCTCCATTAGTGATTATAGAAAAAAGGCAGAACACAGCTGGCTATGTGCATGCCTTTGATAGTCGTAGAGCGTGGATAGGCACTTCATCATTCTGCCTTCCTACATTTATCTGTTAAAATTATTATCAAATATCAGCCAGGATGCAGTCGTGAATCACAGACTGCTCCTCGTCTTCAGGGGAATGATACAATGAGGGCCTATTCATCAGTATGGCAATCGGCACAAGTAATTAGTTCCCTGGACTGAGATCTCCTACAAAGCTTATTTCAGTCAGCACCACAAACATATGACAATGAAAAGCTAATGGAAGCCACTAAAATTTGTTAACCTTTTCTGCCATCCATCCTTCTTGTATTCTGTGCTACAGTATTATGCAAAGATGGTAAATTTTTAATTTGTCATTCATCTATCTTTCCACAGTTTTGATGGAATTAAGTGATGCCATTCTTCTGGATAACAATTACACCACATTACAAAGCTATGCTAAAATTATTAGAAAAATAGGTAACAATGATCAGGCACAAAGTACCATCCTGAAACATAATATATCTTTAGTCCCCTATTTTCAGTTTGACATATGAAATTTGCATAGGATTCCATCTCCCTCACCGGTGCACTGATTATTCACAAACAACAACATATCAACTATTAGACTGTGTATTTGCGTATTTATAACTATTGGCAACCACTGTATTATGAGGTAAATTAAAAAAAATCTGCTCTCTACACACAGACAAATATCCAGCAAAAACCTGCACAGCCAAAAATAAATATCTATGTTGTCTAATTCTTACAAGTGAGCCATTTTTAAGAGCAGCTACTGGGACAAATCTATAATAGCACTAATATAAGCCAGTATACTATATAGATACTCTAGAACAACTAGCTTACTAGTAAGATTGATTAACCATTGCAGTGCCATCCCCAAAAGGCAGTGCTATACCATGCAGACTTTGTGGCTCTACAGCCAGGGGTAGACAGACATATTGCTCTGATTCGGGCAGAAATGACTGCTGAAGGACTATGAAGCAAAGGGCCAAGTAAGCAGATTTTGGGAACAGTCTAGTGCCATCGACTACGGGGGACATGTCACAACGGAAGTTTCCGGCCCTACAATAAAGGCTGCCATATGGACTAAAGGTGCTATATGGACTGGATCAATGAACATAAGTACTCAATTAGTGTAAGTGCACAAGCAACATTTCTCAGGGGGTTGGGGATTTATGAATTATAAATCATATTATTTGCATGGATTTGTCAGGGCCCCCTCTAACATGATACACAGTAATTACTGGTTCCTTGGTAACAATACTGACTGCAGAGAAACAAAGCTTTGATAGTAAATGTTTCATTCAAATCACATAACCATTATATTGCATTATTTTTCAAACAGTTCCCCAAATTACCAGGCTATGTACTCAGAAGTGAGACAAAACTTTCCTCTCAATTCCCATGTAACTAACTAGACTGTTACAATTGTACAGAGATGAGATGAAATACAGAATGGCCAATATAAGCTGTATTCTCAGGACTTCGAATGTGTCATGCAAAGAAAAAAGGCACTTCACAGTGGTAAATGGGAAGAAGTTTAAATGCTCACATATCTTCATTCCAAGAATAAGAAACTTATTTTTCCTACCAGTTTCAAAGATTCATACAATTGCAAACCAAACATACCAACTGGCGTATTAGCTTTATTATGGTGTTATAGCAAAAGAATTTTAGGCATGGGAATTATTTACTGGTCCTCATACCCTATAGGAGATTTAAACTGAAACTCAGCAGTACACCCAGAGAACAACAACAAGATCATACAAGTACCGAAGAATTACTTCTTGTAATGCCTTATCCATTGTGTATTTCAAGAGGTGGACTGAGAACTGGCTGAATGGCAGAACTCAGAGGGTTGTGATCAGCGGCGCAGTCTAGTTGGAGGCCGGTAACTAGTGGGGTTCCCAAGGATCAGTACCAGTTTTGTTTAACTTCTTCATCAATGACCTGGATGAAGGGACAGAGTGTACCCTCAGCAAGTTTGCTGATGACACCAAACTGGGAGGATTGGTAGATACACCGGAAGGCTGTGCTGCCATTCAGCGAGACCTGGACAGGCTGGAGAGTTGGGCAGAGAGGAACCTGATGAGGTTCAACAAGGGCAAGTGCAGGGTCCTGCAGCTGGGGAGGAACAACCCCATGCACCAGTACAGACTCGGGACCTGCTCTGCGGAGAGGGGCCTGGGAGTGCTGGTGGACAAGTTGACCATGAGCCAGCAGTGTGTCCTTGCTGCCAAGAAGGCCAATGGGATCCTGGGGTGCACTAAGAAGAATGTGGCCAGCAGGTCGAGGGAGGTCCTCCTCCCCCTCTGCTTTGCTCTAGTGAGGCCACGTCTGGAGTACTGTGTCCAGTTCTGGGTTCCCCACTTCAAGAGAGACAACTGGAGAGAGTCCAGAGAAGGGCTACAAGGATGATGAGGGGACTGGAGCATCTCTCCTATGAGGAAAGGCTGAGGGAGCTGGGCTTGTTTAGCCTGAGGAAGAGAAGGCTGAGTGGGGACTTTATAAATGCTTATAAATATCTTAAGGGTGGGTGTCAGGAGGATGGGGCCAGACTCTTCTCTGCGGTGCCCAACAACAGGACAAGGGACAACGGGCACAAGCTGAAGCATAGGAAGTTCCATCTGAATACGAGGAAGAACTTCTTTACTTTGAGGGTGACAGAGCACTGGAACTGCCCAGAGGGTTGTGGATTCTCCTTCTCTGGAGATATTCAAGACCCACCTGGATGCTGTCCTGTACAGCTTGCTCTAGGTGACCCTGTTGTAGCAGGGGGCGTTGGACTAGATTCTCCCCTAAGGTCCCTTCCAACTCCTACCATTCTGTAATTCTGTGATATTCTGCTACTTCTACGACCACAGAAAAGAAGCAGTCAGCACACTAGTGTGGACAGAAAAGGGACTATGCGACCTGGCAAAGAGGAATGAAAATATAAACCCTACAAAAAGCAATAGTCTGAGAGGTCTCCGGGTTGTACTTGGGCCGCCAGTTAATTGAGAATGGATTTTAGCACACCGCAGAAGCACCTATTCAGATCCTTAGACTAGTGAAGTACTAAATAAACAAACACAGAACAGAAAAGAGAAAAAAAGAAAAGAAAGGTGAAAGCAGCACAGCATTATAGAAATCATTTGCAGAGACAGAGGATGACTAGAGCGCTAGATGACTTTATCTATCTAGAAGGCTATCTAGCCTTAAAGGCAAGAAAACCCACTGGCATGAAAGACAATTGCAACAAA